ATCAACATAAAACCACCTGAGTGCCTCCGACGACCACCCGTAACCTCGGTGGTCCTTGATGTAAGTCCCTTGGCAAAGGCATCGGGGTACCAGTCATGCGTGCGTGCGTCTAACGAAGCGAGAATCCCTTTCGCTTCGGCTCCTTTTCGATTGGCCTCCCGCTTTCGAGGCGCGCCTTCTTCTCGTCCAGCTCCAGACGTTGCCGTTCCAGTTGGTCCTTCATCTCGCGATGTCGGGCGTATAGTTCGTCTTCGCTCTGTTTCAGCTTGCTCTCCTTCTCTGCGACCTTCTGTTGGAAGACCATCTTCATCTCTGCCTCCATCTTGGCGAGCTTCTGCTCGTGGAGGGCACGCTCCTCCTCTTGCTTGACAGCGGGGTTGACCTCCTTGAAGACGCTTGGGTCCTGGGCCACGCCCATCTGGGTAAGCTTGTCGGAGCGGTAGTTCTCGTACAGAGAGTTGTTGGTGTGTTCCTTGAGCTCCTCCATGTGGGTGCGGATCAGCATCTGGCGCAGCTTGACAAAGTCGCAGTGTTCCTCGTTGTCGACTTCGATGATACCCCAAGGGTAGCTTCTACCGCGCACTTTCCGGCCATCAGGGGTCGTGACCTCGGAGTTGGCACCGACGACAGCGAACGGGACCTTGGACATGATCTCCTGGTTCTCGGCAATAGTCTCCTCGTCGTCAAGCTCATAGCGGGGCCCTTCGAAGATCTGAATGGAGTGGTGCTGGATATCGGCCAAGATCTGAGAGTGATTGCATCAGCATACTATACAAAAGGAATGGAATCAGGGGTCAACCTACCCTCTTCTTGAAGTCCACAATCTCCTCGTCCGTCAAGGTGTCAGCCTTGGCGATCACAGGGATCAGGTTGACCTTGGTGTGCAACCTGCGCATGACTTCGATGTCGAGGGGCTTCAAGGAGTGACCAGTGGGCTGGATGAAGTAGACGCAAGCGTGGATGCGGTTGTCGACAATGTTGGTTCTGTTGACCTTGTTCTCGGCCTCCAGGTAGGCATCGTATCTCTGTTCGATGTTCTCCACAATCGGGCGCCACGAGTCGTCGTTGTTCACAAAATCACCGAATCCGGGGGTGTCCACCACGGTCAGGCGGAGACGGACACCGTTCTCTTCAATATCGGAGCTGATAGATTGGATAGAAACGGTCTTGGGGATGATGTCGTGGCTGGGGCCGGTGCGTTCCTTAGGAGGGTAGAGCGAGGCGTTGAAGAGTGTGTTCACGAGAGTCGACTTTCCGAGGCCGGACTCACCTAGTGGCGTATTAGATTGAACAAATTGCAGCTCTGCGTGGTTCCGCCTGTTGGGCACTTACCAACAACCATCACGTTGAAGTTGAATCCCTTGCGGACACTCTTACGGTGCCATTGGTTGGGCAGGTTGGCAAAACCAACGTAGCCGGTCAGCTTCCGGCGAACGACATTCTTCATATCCGTAGCAGCTTGAGCAACAGCCTTGGGGTCCTTGGAGCTCACGGTCTGAGCGTTTCCCGCGCCCATTGGGTTACTGCGCTCAACGAAGGGCGAACTGGGCTTGCTGCTGGGGGGAGAGGACGAAACGGGCGTGCCATTGGCAACCGGTGCAGGGGGTGGTGTAGCTACATTGTGCGAAGCAGAGTCAGCAACTGGTTCATCATCCTGTCTTTCACTTTCGGAAGACAAGCGATCGAGGGCAGGCGAAAACGAATGGCGCTTCGGTCTCTGCGAGCTCTTCTGGAGGAAGCTTGGAGGAGCTTCCGAATCTCCTTGAGAGCGACCATCCGCACTTCGGTTCCTGGAACGTGCCATGGTGGTATCACAACGCGCTAGGATGCCGGGTTTCGGACACGATAGGGAGGAATTGGTGGCAGGTAGAAAAGGGGGGTTGTTTCTTTCAAATCGCAGGTTGATAAGGAAAGGAAGGGTACAGGGCGACAAGCTTACCCATTGTGGAAGTGAAGGGTGTGCAGGTAATATGGGAAGCGAGCGTAGAGGAAGCAGGTGGTAGCGAGCGTCGATGAGGAAGTTCCCCTGAACAGGTAGTACCTTCTTCGTTAGCGACAAAGTCCTTGCAGGAAGCAGTCAAGGGGAAGGTCTGGAAGCCGCAATAATCGAAGCAGCAACGTGGAGGATAACCGTATTCCACGTATGGTCCGTGGGGATGCAGAAGAGAAGGTAGGGAGGAGGAGGGGAGGGGGGCCAGAAAATAGAGGAGCCAGCCTGCGTACCTGGATACTATTATTCACCGGTAAAAGGGTGAGGTTCAGTTCAATAACGAGCCAAGGGGATGGGATTATAGCTGGAACCCAAGGAGGATCTCAAAAACACAGCTAAAAAAGCAGGGTGTGGAGGAGATGATGCGAAACGAAACAGGAAAAAAACAAAAGTCGGGGAGAAGAAATGAAAAGGACGATGAAAGAGAGAAGTGAATACGTACTGAGGGAACAGGGGAAAGAGGGAGAGCGATTGGGACCTGCGGAGTGATGGGGGTGTGGTTTAGTCGTTGGAGCCAGACTGTTTGGTGGCCCTGTCCGAGAAAGAAAGGGGGCTCTGGTTTCTCTTCTCTCTACTTTGCTCCAAAACTAAACTAACCTAACTTACTGACTGACTGTATGGGAAGGCTAACTAGTTAATCAATCCTTTTAGTCCTGCTGTCCTGTCGCCCACTTTTATTTTATTTTCCCCAATGGACGGTTTGATTGCACACCGTTTGGTTTTCAAATATGACACTTTTTCATCCTCTCTATCTATGATCAATTGGAGTTCTTTCCCAGCGTTACCTATTGTTTACACCCTCCGACATTTATCTAGAACCGCGACATTCCGAATTACAACGGCTCCATAGTCATCATTATTTTACTCGGAACTTCATTGCGAACTAATTACCCTGGAGTATTTTAACTGTCACTACTGTACTTACCTACAACCTTAGCAACAGGACCAGTGATTTTTTATTTTCTTACCGGACATGTCCATAACGAATAAAAAAAGCAATAAGAAAATCCCCCAAAGTCAAACTTAAACTCCCTCGAGATCTTTTGGACACCACTAGCTTAATAAGAGATGCGAAACCATTCTCCCCGGGGGGTCAGGTGTACTACAGTACGAAGTCAGTAAGATCGTGGGGAACGAATCCAACCAACCAACCAACCCTGGAGCCATTGACTATCTACTATCTAATAGGATGCGCATCCGGGAATGGGAAAATTCCACTTTGGGAGGGCGAGGTTTTTGGAGCTGTACAATCAGGAAGGCCTGATAAATTGAACTCCTGACCCGTGTGTCCTGCACAGTGCTCAATCTACCGGACCTTGGGTCGACGGCAACCACTCCCAGGTTTGCTTTCCAAGACAGATCCGCTGCGGGTGGGCTATTATTAGTTGGAAGGATGCTGCTTTGTGTGTCCGGTGCGAATCATCTGGGACCTGCAAGTATCATCCGATGGCCATTTATACGCAAGCCCAACCCACCTGTCTTGAACGACATACAGATAATCGGGCGTAAGAAGCAGCTGGTAGGTAAGCTATGGAACCGGCAGGAAAAGAAAAGGTTGCTGGCACCGCACGGGACAACAACACCTCTCTCCTTCGGGAGGAGCAAAGCAAAAGCGGACTAGCCTGTATTTCCCATGCGTAACCGCGTAACGGGCGGGACGGCAAGCAGTCAGGGGGGAAGAATACCACCGACTAATACCCATAATGGACACTGACTCTGTTGTGTCGGGGCCGGAATAACATCGTATGCCGTAAGTTGCAGTCAAGGCTTTTCCTTCCTCAGCCAATCATTGCTGCTTCGCCCAACGGTCTGGAAGCTGGCGTCACACCATAGGAAGTTGCCGGTTGGTTCTAGCACTACTACGAAAGAGATAGTATTTGAGTCCAGTCGATCCGAATTTCATTCATCTCTCCAAATTTACGTCCAAATGTTACTTCCATCAAAAGGGGGTTGTATAAGTATTTCCTTCTCTGGGATTCACCCTCCCCAAATCAAGATATCACTTACCCTTCTATAAATAACCCAAACCCAATGAAACACCACCACCACCAACCCTGCATCTCCCATGATTAAACCAGTGCACAGAGCAAGGGAGCCAGAAACCCGACTCGGAGTAAATCATGAGGCTACACAGTACTTACTCACACACACACACCTACTCCTGCTTCTGCCTCACACTCACACACAACACCCCCCTACACCGCACATCAACATCCGAACCTATCGTAACCACCCAACATGCAAGACAGGTTTGAAATAACCATGGCAATCGGGCATATTTCATCCTGCAGTCACAAACATACATACATACATGCAGCAGCTATACAGTATTACTTAATAATTAGTGTAGCTCGCTTAACCCCAACTACTACAACTAGTACTAGTACTAGCATAGTAATGACCTCCCAGTACCAGGGATAGAGAGACAATAATGGCATGTGATATATCCTATATTGAGGCACGTATTCATGGTTGAGGATGTTACGAGTCGAATCGAATCCATTTCCCCACTTCCTGTACAGAAGGTTTGGCTGGGGGTGGTTCTCGTTCTATGATCGTAGATCATGGATACGAACGAACGGACGAACGAACATGGATCGGCGTCGCGTCTTGGTTTATGACATGTTATGCACATGACATGCAGGTGATAATCGATAGTGTTGCCAATAAGCAAACTTTGGGGAGGATCGGAGCTGGAGGGCTGTTGGACGTGTCTTGTTGTTGTGATGTTTTGGGTACAGTATGGTAGTGTGGTACTACTTGCTATGGTGGTGGACGGGATTTCCTAGTTAGCTAACTGTGGTACGTTCAGTTGGTCAACGGTCCTTCATGTGTGCCATGTTTTAGTATACATTTACAGGGATTTCAAACATCCAAGTACAGAGTAAGAGAGGCAGAAGGACTATGCTAAATGTCATCCAGATAGATAAGCCCGGTTCATTATGCGATAGTCATCATAACAATGGGCGGTCGGGAAAAAAATACAAGCAACGGGCTTAAGACGTTAAAACTATTTTCCAACCTTTGTCTTCTTCTTCGGCCGCGCCCCCTCCGCCTCTGACATGGGCTCATCCTCGTCATCGTCTTCTCCATCAGATGCATCACCCATCTCGGCGTCACTGGCACTGCCGCTGCTCTCGTGCGCGGAGTCGTATTCTTCCGCGACGTCAGAATCAGACTCGGCCTGGAAGTCCTCGTCAATGGATTCTTCGTCTTCATCGGCCGAGCCGCGGTCAGCCCGGACACCCTCGTCGTCGCTGGAGCCCATGTCGTCATTGTCAAGAGCTGCTGCGATGAGAGCCGAGGCCTAGTCAGGGATGTTAGTGATGACGAACACGCGGGTGGATGAGGAATTTGCAAGGTTACACATACATCGTCGGACATTTCGTTCTTGAAGCGAATGTTCTTCGCCTTGAAGAATTCCTCGAGGGGTTGTTGCTCCTCGCTAGGGAATGTTAGCCTCTGCTAAATATTTGAGCGTTATAGAGATCCACATACCGGTTGATGTTGCTAAATTGGTGTTCTCCCAGGCCAGCCTTCAAGCTAACTGTGATATCAAATGTTCTGCTGGCCGAGATGGCACCACCCACACGCGACATGGTGATGATTGCAATGTTCTCAATCTGAATGTAAGTGGCAGGCTTGGGGACGAAAATCAAACTCTTATCCAAGAAGTAGAGGAGACCCTCGTTCGCCTTGATGGAGCACTTGACTCCACTGTGACCGTGATGGCTGTAGGATGTCAGTAATCGGTGCATAAGGTAGTATGGGACACCGTTTCACTGACCTGACAAAGTCCTTCGACGGCATGATGACCTTCTTGCCTGACAGGCCACGGAAGATCTTCGTGACCACCTGGTGGATGGGTTCCTCGTAGCGGGGCTCCAACTTGTCTTTGTAGCGAGTTTCCAAAAGCTCACTGGTAGACTGTCAGCTGTGTGCGATCCACTGATTCATCTACTGCACTCACTCTGTCATGTTGAGCTCCAAGCTGATCTCCTCGTCCAACTTCAACTGCATTACCAAGAATGGGTAGCGAGTCTGGCCTTGTCGTAGCGGGGGATCAAGTCCCAGAACGATCAATGTATGTGTGTCATCGTTCTTCGGAAGCAGGAAGAACTTCTTGATAGAAGCGTATTGAATCTTGTAGTCGTATGTTTTACCGCGTAACCGGAAGGATGATTCGTACATGTCGATATCGAACCGACCTCTGCAATCTCATTAACACACACCCACCATATCGTCTGGATGATACGCACCTGGGTGTAAGATGCAGGACATCCAAGAAAGTAGCGAATGTGTCGCCAGCCACATCTCCAATCTCCGCCTTGTCCATGAGCATCTCGTAGAACAAGTTCGCCGCATTCTGCTCTTCGCCCTCTTCTTCCTCGGCTCCGTTCTCTTCGTCCGGGTTTTCCGCATTTTCTTCCTTGATACCCTTCTCCGTCTTTACGGCCGTTCCTGGGATGTAGAATCGCATCTCGACAAGTTCGTCCGGACCCGAAGCGGCCTTGCGACCACGGTTCTTCGTGCTACCAGCGGGTTTGGCGGGCTCGTTACCCTCGCCACCAAGAGCAAACTCCACAGCGACTTCATTCTTTCCGGCAAGGTTCGTGTTCGATATCTCGGAGTAGGGGATTTCGAATGCCGGTCGGTTCTGCACGTTGAAGGATAGTTCTGCTTTGGTGAATTCTGCCTTGCCCCAGTTCCATCCACGAAGAGCGTGCTCTCGGCTTTCCATGTTGATACCGTACCAGATCTTGAAGGCTTTGCTCAATCGCTCGAAGTCCTAGCGTCCATGGAGGCAAAGATTAGAACAGCCTCTTCACTCATATTGACATCACTCAGACTTATTCCCGGACATACCTCCTGGTCAAATCCATCAAGCTGGATAACTCCCGAGGAGCGCGACAAGATTTTCAGCTCATATCCCTTTGCTGCTCGACTCCATTGGGCTGCGCCGATGTTGCTGCTGTCAAGAGTAAACGTTTCGCCGCCACCGGAAGGCTTCCATCCTAAGCCAGATTCCGCCAGCTTGCACTTTCCATGCTGCTTCGAGAGGTCGAGATAGATGTTATCGAAGCTCTCCCTAGAAGAAAGAGTAATTAGCCCCGTAGCCGGCGATGGTAGGTGAGAAGCTCACATTTTGGAGGAGCCCTCAAGGGTGTCACAATAAGCGTAATGGGTATTGAAAGAGTCGAATCAGTTGCCCTCGAAGCGGCGACAAAGTTCAAGAGAGTGGTTGGTGAGTTGAGGGTGCTTTTTGCAGATAAGGTGTTTGGAGTACTTCCGATACTGAGCTCCGATATCCTTTTTCCTGGAGTCTCGCGTTGCGCGCGGCTATGCCTCTTACGCGGTGCGGCAAGTTCCTGGCACTACTTCTGCAGAATCGGATTAGTTCTTGGTGCCTGAGGCAGTAACAGTCAACCACGGTCAAGGTGTTTGGTTGCCTAATTTCAAGTGAAGTGGGTGTAATAGGCTCTAACAAAGAATAATCGAGTTATTTAACTCAAATTTAGTTTGCTTGTTCACCTCTTCTGGACATGTACCTCAGGTACGGGGATGTTGCTGTCTGATACTGCTAGTAGGGATCAGTTTGATCTATATCACTTAGCATATTGAGACGACGGGAGTTCGCAGTATTCATACAAATTAATACTAGTTTATCAATTTGTGGTGTTGGTTTTTGCCGTGGACCCTATTGGCATTATCTTGTCTTACGGGTTACTAAGTAAGCTCATTGTCCATAGTATGACTTGTGGAGTGTTACTCGGATCTATATATTTCGGCCAATACTTCCACATAACGTACTGATTCATTACTACTACTATTCCAGCAGCAAATCTCCGCCGAAGTATCACGAGCCAGAAAACTAATAACTGTGATATATAGAAGAATTTTCTAGAAGCCAACAAGTGTTGAGAACAAAGCACCTCAAAAAAAAAAAAACGCGATTAACGAATGGTTACTAGACCAATTGCCAATCGCCCCCATAGTCAAGACCAGCCATGAGCCCACAGCCAAGAGCGAGCAGTTGGTAGTCTAGGAAACAAGAGAACTATATCCAACGTCAGTGCAACTACGTCAATAAATTTTCTATTGGAGACCATGCAGATCAACATTCTACTATATATGTCAGGTGATGTGCCGCGAGTGACAGTTAATGACTGGGCATCGCCGGTAATCCGAGCCAGTTCATAATCTGAGCATTCATGGTATCTGGAAGGTTCTAAATACATTTCATTCCTGACCAAGCTTGGCATAGAATGGTGCTTTCTGTGCATATGTGGCCTGGGGACTATAGTTCTGTTGGAAACCTCGCGTGCACTTGTTGTATGTCGAGGACGAGATGGATAAAGACGGCCTTATGGCTCCCGTCTCCAGAAGATTGCCTGACTGACAACTGGGCTCTTACTTGCAGTGTTCTATTCATCCTCGGGATACAAATCTTACATATCCAATGCATGCTGGCAACGACGGGTTCATCTGACTTGTCACTATAGGAGGCCACGATTGCTCTTGGCAAGGCATGTACATGAACAGGATGGCACTTCATGTTTGATAGAGAGAACTCCCCGTGTGTATGGTTTATATCAAGGTCTAAAGCAAAATATAAGTACGGAGTACATCGAAGAAACAAACAACTACTGTTCTGGAATTCTACAAGAAAGGATATCACGAATCCATCCCCGTAGCAAAGACAGAAAGGTCAATTCACACAGCACTGTCTGTGTCGGGTGTGATATCTAGTACTATGCAGAAATCCTGGGGGCTAAGCACTAATATCACCTGATGCAGCTTTTGATTATGGTTCGAGGGGATGAGATGAATACTGTCGGTGAGTGCCCAAAACTCGTGATTCTATACCTGAGAGTATGAGACGGCTGCCTCCAGGCGATAATAAGAAGGATTGAGTCTAGTACAGAGCAGATCAGAATAAACACGATGTAGCTGCATGTAGGTGTATCGTGTTAGATAAACCTAATGTAGCTCCTGCGGTGGGTATATGGAATTAGACTTCTGTAACCTGTTCATGCGACTCTAGCTGCATAGTACACCGCCAGTAAGGACGATTTCAATATGGTGGAATGCATTGATCCTGGGCTGACGTTTGTGAAATGAAGACCTCTAGGATGTTTAACTTCCTCCCAGTCTCCCGATGCTGCCCGTCATTACTGTCGCTGTGACGGCGTCCAATACTAGGGGTGGGGTGAATGGAGAAGATCACCTAATTATAGGTATCCCACCGGCTGCAAGGTGTCTCTCATTCGGAGGCGCAAGTAGTGATCCTGCGTGGATGATCAAACCAGCCTCTTTCCTGATGGCAGTAGTCTAGAGCCCTTCCATTAGCATCTTTTTCCAACCTGATCGGAGAGTTGAAGGTTATGCAAATACCAATAATGATGTGACCACTTCGATAGTACAGGAAATGGAATGAAGCCCGTAATTGAGGGCGCCCCCACTCTGCGGTCGGTGGACACAAAACTGGCTCCCCAAGTAAGAGTAGCTCCATTCCGTGGCTCATACGCAACAATGGGCCCTCTAGCGAGCGAGTAATGTTGCGTTTCACCTGCCGGGCCGATGAGCATCCCGAAGGCCCCTCACCAACGAGCCATCGAGAGCTGCTGACTGCGCAGCTGGTGGAACCCGGAACGCAGCCAAATGGGCAATGACCGGGCGGGAAATGATGGTACCTGAAAAACCAACTACTAAGTAACTTACTAGATTCCCAGCAACTTCTCTGGGAACAAACAAGCCCCTGCCGGCCATGTCACTCGTTCGCTCCATCCAACTTCTTCTCCCAGTCATTCGTTAATTAATTAATTTTCACCTGGCTGTGGCCATTCTTGTACTATCGGGCTATCTCTGCCTGAGATCACATTCGTTCCTTATCTCTATTTTCGTTCCTTTCTTTTTTTGTTCTTCTACACCTTCGTCTATTAATGTTTTCTGGGCCCGACCACTCCTTTTCTCGTGTTCCTCGTGCTGGTAGCTCAGCCTCCTATTAGGAAAAACCACTGTCTTTTCTTTTTGATCAATCTATCCAGACCTCTTTCAACGCCTTACGCGGGTTCAGGCAATTTGTTTACAATTCCCTTTCTTCAATCCCTGGCCTTCAACCTTTCTTTGGCCTGTCGTCGCGAACCTGAACAATGAGGGCACCCTCACTGTTTGGGCCTGCGACGGCTGGCTTGTCGACTGTCCTCCGCCTTGGCTATTTTCTCCAGTCGACCCCCGCTTACGCACTCACCTTTCAATCCGTCTCAGAGCCCGAATTAGATCTGTCGCCGTTAGGCCAAATCGCTTTCACAGGAGACTTCGATGCCATATCCCTCTATCAATACACCGAACAGTCCGATACCGCGACCGAAAATGATAATGCGCAATCCCTTCTCACCCCTCTCCCGAACGGAATCCTCACGTCACTCGAGTCGTCCAACGCCCACATTCGTGCGATGTGCCCCTTCACGAAGAAAGACGGAACGTTCAAGGGTATTTTTGTCGGAGGCAATTTCACCAGCTTGGGAGGGGTCGACTCGGAAGGTGTCGCGCTGTACAATCCGGACTCGAACAAGGTGACAGCATTGTCAGGTCTGTCGGGCTCGGTATCAGCATTACTTTGCGACCAGGAAACGAACAGTGTTTATGTCGGAGGAAACTTCACATACTACAACATCACGAACGCCGTGGCCTGGGTCGGAGATGAAGGCTGGTCGAATTTGACGTTTGGAGGCCTCAACGGACCCGTCAACTCGATCTTGAAAGACAGCAATGGCCATATCATTTGGGGCGGTTCTTTTGACGGCACCGGCAATTCTACATCATCCGAGAAAGGACTGCAGGTGATCAACCTTCAGAATGCTACGATTACTTCCGACGCAGAATCCTCGACAAGCGGCTATATCAGTCCTAGTAACATTGTATGTCAGACGAGCGGCGACGATGGCGAAGGCCAGACTTGGCTGTTAGCGGATTATTCCCCCGGGTACTGGCGCGCCATGATGGGATTCGAATATTACCCAACGAAATTCAGATTGTACAACACTCATTATGAGGGACGCGGCACCAAAACGTTCCTGTTCAGAAGACTTCCGGACAATGGAATTATGAACTTGACATATACCGACCCCGACACCGGCAAGGACGTCCACTGTGATCAGTCTTGCTCCCTTTCAAACAGCACATCGGAGAAGTATCGCGAGTTCCGTTTCGTCAACAGCGTTGGCATGAGCGGATTTCAGATTGAGATCCAGGACTGGTACGGCAAGGGTGCCGGTCTGAACGGGATCGAAATGTTTGAGACCAGTGAGTTACCATCTCTGTTTCCTTACACTGAACGTGAAATCTAATGGCTGTCAGACATTTATGCATACGCCATGAATGCTTTCAACGAACCGACCTGTTCTGGTTCTGATTATCCGTCAAAGTCAACTCGCACAGGGTCGTGGTCTGTCGCACCGTCCGGCCAAAGCTCGTCTGAATACTTGACCACGCAGGTGACCGATTCAAATGCAACCAGTGCTTCAGTGGTGTTCGAACCCGATGTCAAGCTTTCCGGAAACTACTCAATCAAGCTGTACACACCCGGTTGTGAGCAGGATAGTACCTGTGATTCCCGTGGCATCGTCAATGTGACAGTTACCCCTACCAGCGATACTGACGAACCTGTCCAAACGCTTATCTACCAAACCAATTTGTATGAAAAGTACGACACCATCTATACCGGCCATGTGGATGCCAGCGATGATTCTTTCCGTCCTCGTGTCAAGTTGACCCCGACGACCGGCCAAGGGAACAATGTCACTGTGGTAGCCTCACTGGTTCAGTTCGTGGCAAACTCGGTGTCAGGCAATTCGAGTGATAACTTGAATGGCCTTTTTGACTACAATCCGTCGGATGACAGCACCAATGTCACGGCTTCCGCGATCGATCAGGCAGGCTTGGCACTCGAAGATGGAGCTTCCGTCAACGCCCTGGCCAGCCATGATAAGATCGTATACGTCGGTGGTAATTTCTCGAGCTCCAATATCGAGAACATCATGTACTTTGAACAGGATGGAAATGCGACCGCAATGCCCAAGGGTGGATTGAACTCCGAAGTGGCTAGCATGGCGGTGCTGGGCGACAACCTATATGTCGGTGGAAATTTCACTGATACGTATAGTGGTGGAAACGATGGCCTGAGTTACGTCGCAGCGTATTCTTTCGACTCGAAGACGTGGTCGGCATTGGGCGCCGGCGTCAATGGTCCTGTTAGCGATGTCCTTGCTCTCAAGCTCAATGTCTCCTTGGATCTTAACGAGACGATCATTGGTATTAGTGGCAATTTCGATCAGCTGCTAGCCTTTGATGACAGCCCAGCAACCAACGTCTCTGGATTTGCCGTCTGGGTTCCTTCGCGCAACAACTGGCTTCAGAATCTCAACGTCAGCCAATACGAGTTTGCTGGACAACTGTCAGCCTTTGCCGAGGCAGACAATGCAACTATACTTGCCGGTAGTCTTTCTTCCGGTGGTCTTGCTGCGGCCGGCGCTGTTGCTCTTCTCTACGACAACGAGCTGAGTCTGGAGCCTCTGCTGACGGATTTCAACACAAGCGGTCAGACCTATACAGGTCTTTTTGACACGAGCTCGAGCAACAATCTCACGATTCTAGGTGGCCACTTCACTACTAATGCGACCAACGGGTCTGCGATCAATAACCTCGCCATACTTGATGGCAATGCCGCCACCATCCGTGG